TGATTATTATTATAAGGAATTGCTATGGAGGCTGAAATGATAGCTAGAAAAAAGACGCATTTATTTGATATCATACTTTCAATATGAATTGTCATGATATTTTATATTGTCATACGTTTTCGTCGGAACTTCATATCCATACAAATAAGAATTAATTTATTATAGTTAACTGGAAATTAGTTATATCTGCTTTCTTAAATATAAAATATTGTCTCTTACTCCCTGAAAAAAAGACTTTTTTTAAGACTAGTAGAATCCAATGTTACCAAGTTGATTTTCACTTCACTGCGTCATACAATGGATAACCTTTATTCATTTAAGGCGTATCTCTCTTAGCTAGTCAATGACGTACACTTTTATATAAAAATAAAAAATTTGTAGTCTTCATTGACGTAAATCTGACAATTAGTAGATTCATTTTATGTAAAGGATAATTTACCATTAAGGCAAGCTTAATTTAGAAAGACAGACTTAGTCTATGCATCTACCATCCTAGGTAATCTAACCATATATTTATCATTTGTATGAGAAGAATGAATAGGCCTTTTAGTCTTAAAACGACAACATAAACTTTGATCATTAACGAAACTACTTTTTTAAAAATACCGTCGGTCTAGTTATTGGACATTACCAACATGATATTTAAAACAAAAAAACCCGACACTGTACAAGAAATTAGATCAAAAGCTAGACAGATTTAAATGCCATATTCATTTTTTATTCAATCACGAAGCCATATGGTAAGTTATCCATATCATGTGATGAGCGTGAATCATGAATTCTTCTAAGTTTTAATTGTGAAATAATAGTTCATTGAAAAAAGTTACAAAAACATTATGACAGCTATTCATGAATGACAATAGTAAATACTATTTTAAGGTAGTTGCTATGCTGCAACAGTGTGAGAATATTACTAATAAATGTGTGATAATACATGTTAAAATTAAAGAAATCTGGTCAATCATAACAGTTTCCACAGTGCTGATTTTAGTTGAGTAATTCTGCATGTACTTCGATATACAGTACTATTTTTTGAACAGGATTAAAATGTATAAAACTAATTTGATCAGAGTATTGGCTCAATACTTGGAGAGAAATAGAGTTTATTAAGAAAATGAGATTTTCTTTATATTGATATCATTTACTGAAGCATCTTTAAAAAAGAAACTTATACTGAGAGCATAATGTTAGTTCTTTTTGAATGGGTCGTGACTTATTGTAAGCCACTTCTTCAGAGTAAATAAATAACTCTCTACCCAATGTTTAATTCATTTATAACTATCATGTCCAGCCTTGACATTGATGCAGAGCTAAGCTTGAAGTTTATATTCGCAAGAAGTATCACTAGTTCTTGACTTCAGTATGATATAAAATCTCTGTATGTTTTTAAAAAAAATTACTAATCAGTTGGTATTACCCTTTTTAATTCTTTCATCACTATCGTCAAATATTTTCCATCCGTCTTCGTGCTCTTTGGACGAACAATTATCTCTCATACTTTTAGTTTATAAACTGTATAAACTTTATTAATGTTTTTCAAAAAAACTTTAAATTATCATACGTATTCTCACTTTATTACATCAGGATTCCAAACGTTTTAATAATAATACAGTAATGTTATGATAAATCTGACTGAACGCTTGAATCGGTTTCCCAACCTCTTCTAGTATCCGCCAGGCTAAATCTATACGGCAACATAAACACGAGAGAAAAAGTGAGAAATATAGGAATAATGCTTTACTACAAGGTTAGTTTATGTACAGGAAATTGAGGATATTTATGGCATTTCAGACCACTTTGAGCTTCAAGAAATCTCCGGGACCCTACCAAACATAGTAGCAGGATGGTTAATCATGCAATCAGAAATGTGACACTTGACTCTTCACTTTCTAGATGTTTCTGAGACATTTGTATTGAATGCAGATTGGATGAAGTGTTTTCCAGAGTTTTCATAGCCCCTTTAGTCTTTTTTAGAGGAGTGTTCCAGGTATTCCCAACATTATCTTATTAAAAATTACAACTTCAATAAACTATATTACCTAAATGAAAAATTTCTTTCGTTGTTCAACCAGCACTTATTATGATAATATAGCAAATATATATTTATTCGGAAAAAGTAAATATTTTGAGGTAGAAAAGAACAATACTTGAAATTTGTATGGTCATTCTTCGAGGAATTATCTTGGACACTTTAGTATACTGTTTTTTGACTGACCAATGATTTGTAGTTACCATCACAAACTGTATGAACTTAGTCAATAAAATTTTGGAAGAACTAAACAGCTAATTCAACTTTGTATTGAAATTTTAGCTGTCCATGATAGATACATGCGGTCTAATTGTTGTGACTTGTGGTCTATCTGATTATCACATGATTTAGACACCAATCGGAATAGGAATTGAAACTGTACTGCATTAATGACGTATTAACAGTTATGAGCATCCTAGTGTCCTTATTGTTCCTTTTTCTGACTAACCCTGACTGTCCAGTCCAGAAAGTCCAGAACCACTACTATATGAGTCATTTATTTCAAACACATTTGGTTTACATACAAGCCGACCAGACCGCATCACACCATAAACAAAAAAAATAATTGTACAAGGTCAAGCCAAAAAGAGGCTGTGATTGTGACTGCAATTAATAGACTGGGCATAACTTGAGAATAGTAAATAGTGTAATAATGGTCTATAGGTCAAAATAAAACTTACTTTAAAAGAAATATAAATATACATAATCTAGTTACTCAATAGTTGAACAATAAGAATATATGTATAATATTAGCCAACTAACAGCTCTCAGAAGGTACCCATAATTTAAACTTTGCTAGGATGTAACGCTAATGCTCTCTGACTTTCAATTGGATTGAGACTGAGATCATTTTGTGTCAAATACAAGCCATAATTAAAACCAATCACTAAAAAGTCCCTTCAATATTCAGCTTATTACTGACTTAATAATTTTTCTGGAGTTCCAGTCCTAGGTCATTACTGGTGGAGTTTAGACATACATGGAGTGAAACAGTTGTCATCAATGGCACGGAATGTTCGTCGCAGTACAGTGTATATTGACTGGAGTTATATCATTGAAACTCAACCCATTAGTTCCAATGGTTAGACATTTTCTGTGAAATCTGTAGGCCACTAGTTTGATTTCTAGCTAATCAGTGAGTGTTTTTCATCTATAAGGATTCCATACTATTATTGATTCATTTTTTTCAATAATGGCTTTTTTTAAGTAGTTCAAAATACGTGTGAATCAGTCAAAAAAAACGAAACAATAGTTTGGGAAAACGTATCATTTTTTACAATGTTACAGACAGTTCTAGATAACAAGTATTAAAACTGAGAGAATCATATTTACCCGTTTTCTTACTGGATTCCTCATATCCCTGTAGAAAAAATATATTTGATGAAACATGATATTTCATTACTGGTACTTGTTTTAAGTTCTATTATTTTTCATTGTTAATTTTCTGTGGTATAAATTTTACCATTTTCCTAATTAATTATCACTAGAAGCGCATTTCCATATTTTTACTCTGATATTTGACATTTCCATCATATTACAAAATTCCACTTTAGACTATTACTTTACGCAATGAAACATAGAGATATGCACGAGTATATTTGTGTCTCTTTGTACTTATCAGCATCTATTTTACATAATAATACAACATGGAATAGTGGTAAAGTTGGTTTAGATAGTGATTATAACTATTATTATTATTATTACTATTATTATTATTATCGCCTTAATAATTGTAATTGCGATTATTATTATTACTATTGCTGATATTATTATTACTACTAATATTATTATTATTATCATTATTACGTCAATTGAATATAAATTCACTGCATTGACATTTCCAATTTAATATTGCACTAAGTTTTTCTTCCTACAACGTTTCCCTTTGTTACCCTAGTCACACTTGAATAACTTTAAAAAAAAGAGAATAAATGCGTCTGAAACATAAAACACTTTCTGGTTAAAGATGAATAAAATTTTAGCCAAACAATTCAAATGCGCATATACAATGGGAAATGAGTTAGACTAATATAATATCTGGACGCAGTTATGCATTCTAATAATGTACAAGTATATATACAAATAAATAATGAATGTTCATATATGTCTGTCTTACAGAATAGCCTCAAAGAACAAAAATATTACTTATTTGTCAGTTGGGATAAACCTTTTCATGTTGAAACAATAATAATAATATTAATAATAATAACAATAGCGAAATACACTGCATTCCGTTTTTCTTTATACTATTTAAATCTTTTAATGACTAGAGATTTATCTTCTAGTAATGCATATATATCTATCTATATATATTGCATATTTGTTGCGTGCCCACTTATCAAATTGTCTTGCTCTGTTTGTTTGTAATTTTTTCTTACTTATAATATTTGCAAAGAATCGAGAAAGAAGGGGAGAAAAGTGTAATCCATGTATATTTCTGAATGAATATAGTGAAAATAGGGTAAAAATTAATTAACATAAAAAAGTATTTTATCATTGTATATCTTCTAATCACTGTTATTATTATACAGAATATGATCCATGCGTACACAATAGTTTAGTGAAAGTGTATTATTACATAATATAGTTGAAATCCATTAAAAAAACTGAAAAGAGTCCATAAAAAGTAGCTCATAATGTTCATTAATTGTTACATCTATTATGAATTTATTAAAAACCATTGACAATGATATAAAGTATATCCTAAATTAAAATAGAAAACCAATTGATAGTTTGAGAATAGAGAATGTAGAAATCAGGTTTATTCAATCACAACGAAAACATTCAAACTTCTATCAATAACATATAATTGAAATTTGTTGTGAGTTATTTATTGATTTAAGATAAAATAGGTTTTCAATGGACTATGCTTGCAAATATCCTGATATATCGAAAGAAAACTAGAGAAAATGTATAAATTAAGTTTGTTTAATAAATAGGAGGCAAGAGTAAGTGAGATACAGTATGTGAAATGTTGAGTTTGTCAAAAGTTATAAAGGATATGCCATCATCATCATCATCATCATCATCATCATCATCATCATCATCATCATCATCATCATCATCATCATCATCATCATCATCATCATCATCATCATCATCATCATCATCATCATCATCATCATCATCATCATCATCATCATCATCATCATCATCATCATCATCATCATCATCATCATCATCATCATCATCATCATCATCATCATCATCATCATCATCATCATTATCAGACTTTCCGTCCATAAATATTTGTAGGTTTCAATGAGATTTATTATGAGATTGAACAACATTAACGCAGTCTCAACATCTTCATTTATTTAAATTAGTTAATTAATTATTTTGTAGTGCATCTTAATAACAAAGCTAGATACAAGACCATGTCAGATGCTGTCAATTTCAACCAGAAACATTCTTATTACAACACAGTTAGTCAAAACGTGTTTGAAATAAATAAGATTTAGTTCTTTTTGAATGGATATATAACATTAACTGTAGAATTATTGTATGAATTATCTACCTTTTAATTAGTTTGCTTTCTGTATCCACATATTGTATTTTACTGCAAGCCTCATTGCCTATCCTATAATTCCAGCTTGTAACTATTGTGCTCCTCTATTTTCATTGTCCATAAACACTATGCGAAACCTTGTGTTTCTTATCACATCGCTACTGACATGCTGGGTGGTTGGTTTGATTAACATCCACTGACAGTCATGAGATTTAATCATATTGATTTGACATGTTGACTTGTGCTGATCTAATACTCTAATTTGAGTTACTTCCATTATTATTTTGTTTGTATTGAATTTTGTTGTCCGTTGTTTGTTCATCAATTTGAGTTGTTTTGTCATCATTGTGTTCAATAAATTTTCTTCGACGGATTCGTCATATTTGATTATTAAATTTTGGGTAATCTGTCGAATAAACTTAATAGCCACTTCAAGACTGATTGAAATATTAGTAATAATGATGAAAAAATAGTCATTAGTTTTTCTCGCTTTTTTTCCGTCTATCATTATATTATCCAGTGGTTTTTCTTCATATTATCGTCTTGTAAATATCAGTATATGATAAAACAAATGAGTTTCATATGGTTCCTTTTTTATAGATTAGCCTTAACCGATCAATGTTCAATGGAAAGAGAATATTAAGGAATTAATTTTAATAATGGCAATAAAAAGGTTGATAACTTATTGATGTAACTACTTTGTTATGCACTATTTACAATACTAAACATTCAAACAAGATTTTTGATGATACTCTGAAATAATATGTGTACGGTTTAAAGGTTCTTTTGTTTTTTTAAAACCATAAAAAGATTAAATAATCGAAATGGGTATTTTTGAAATGTTTTAAACTTATCTCAAACAATAGGTTCAAATAGATTCTTGTCTTGGTTTGAGTCCCGAGATGAATATCAACTATGAGATGCGGAAACATGCAGCTGCCGAGTTCCAAAAGAGACAAAACATGTTTTCTGGATTTCATTGCTTGCCATTATCCATAATTCATTCAAATTGTTATGCTCTCAGAATGAAGATAAATCTTTATCCCAAGTAAAAAAAATAATCCGTTACCTCAAGTTACATTCATTATATTAGATAAGCACAATTATTATACTTTTTATTTATAGTTGAAATCATGAGTCAATTGAAGCTAGACCACCATGGAAAAACTGGAAGCACTGAACGGCCATTTCGTCTTATTGTGGGACTCCTCAGCAGTGCGCACCCACGACCTTGTCTCTCAAGATTCGAACCCAGGACCTACCAGTTTTACGCCAGAGCACTTAACCACTAGACCACTGAGCCGGTATCCAATAGTGTTAATGTCTAACTTCAACCGATCCACGAAGTTGAGCAACCATGTCACCATTATACTTTTTGTTTAAAAAATCCATCCAGCATAATTTAAGTTATTTAGAGATTACCCTTGGCTTTTTCCTTTTTTTTAACATGTTCTGTTCAATTTATCATACCATATGTCTATGAAATAAGTTTTGATTTTGATTTAATATAAAACAACAACAACAACACCATTTATTTCATGTTTTCTATTAGAGATAAATCATTCTCCATCGGTCTATCGTTTTAATAAATTTTTAATGATTTATATTGAATTCTTATAAATATTTATGCATACTTATTTATTTGTAAGTATTTGGGCTTTATGTCTAAAATGAACAATATAATAATTACATTCAGTATTGTTGTTTACTATTTGCGTAATATAAACCATTGTAAAGATTTATCACTATTATTATTATTATTAATATAAACAAATGATTCAGAAACATCATTGTATACATGTCAAAGGTAAATGTGGAAGTATTCTACAAATAGACATGTAAATGTCAAATTTAAAGTAATTTTATATTTTTCATATTGTTGTTATCCTGATCTGATAGTGTTAAAAGATAATTTTCGATCATGACTTCAAAACTTTTGTAGACTTTGTAAATCAATAGTTAGTAACTTATTGCAGTGAATAGTGCTATAACCATTTTCTCTACTCAATATTCATGTGTTAAAATTTTTTTTAAATATTATATTTTTTTGGCTTCTACACCATTAATCCAAGATATAGGATGAAACGCGCGTCTTGGATTCCCCTGCTAGTCACTATCCATCTTTGCTTACAATTCAAGTTATAGTTTTTAAAAGACTAATATTTGAACGAAGAATATTCTTTTCAACAAATTCTCTTTAGGTTCTACAATTATATATCCAAATTAATAATCCGAAAAAATGGCCAGTTTAAAAGCAAAGTACATCGTTTAAAGCATGTAAATTAAGGATCTGTGATCAGAATAAATATGGGTCCGATGGGGTCAGTAATTTTTTACCTAAATTTGTCAGGCTTAAAGTCCTTCAAACAACTGAGGCAGTAGTCATTAGGATGAAGAAACCGGAGCTATGCGTACAGAAGAAACATTTCTAACTTCTGCTCCTCCCTTGGCCAACCACAAAGCCAATTAATCAATAGTAATCCTAGCTATTGGATGACCTAATTTGACTATGTACTTACGACCTTTCGTAGTCAAATGTAATTGTCTCTCTTATCATTATTCACAAATTTTTGTATTATTATTATTATTATTATTATTATTATTATTATTATTATTATTATTGGTTAAATATCACTATTAATCTCCCCTATACATGATTCATTCACTTCGCATTGATCCCTCCTTATTACGTCTCACTAATTTTTCACACAATTTAGTCTTCTACCTGATCGAATTGTAATTGCACTATCATATCTCTCTCTCACCCTATCTGACCCATATTTATTCTGATCACAAATCCTAAATTTACATGCTTTAAACGATGTACTTTGCTTTTAAACTGGCCATTTTTTCGGATTATTAATTTGGATATATAATTGTAGAACCTGAAGAGAATTTGTTGAAAAGAATATTCTTCGTTCAAATATTAGTCTTTAAGTATGATGGGGATCTTTAAACGATATAGTTTTTATACAAGGATAGAACTATGTGGTTTTAGACTATTTATTCTTTTGTTTTTTTACATGGTCATAAACAGATTACCAAGCGATTTCACATTAGATCATCGATATATTTTTTTAAAATTTATAGTGTTTTGACATGTTTCCGTTATTGGATGCTCGTTTTCAAGTGTGTTTAGAAATCTAAATCTAACAGTCGTAAGTAAACATATTTACCACAGTTGTCGTGTATTCTGAATCAATCATAACTTGTCGTACTCTTGAAGATTGGTGTCTCATATGTTGAAACCCATACAATGACAAGTTTATGAAAATATTTATCTAATCAGGATATCATTATATTTCCGAAAAATAATTGTCTTAACCTTTTATTTCAACTAACACCATACTATTTATTATTAAATGTAGGCTTATATTTATTTCAAAGAATATATCGTTGTACAGCTGATATTACTATATTTCTTTAATATGAGTCAATTCTAAAACGCTGCACTAAACACTGGAGTGCTTGTAAGCCATTGAGTTCAATAATTATAGAAAAACTTTCCTCAAGATGAAAACGGAATTGAATTATATTGATATACATAACCAACATTATAGTTCTGTTTTATGATAACTTACAATAATTCCGTATTCCTAACAATTGAATGATTTTTCTAATACAAAATGGGATCTATGAAAATTAGATAGACCGTACGATCAATGCAAAAGATGTCAATAATACTAACCCACGTGATAGAATATTAATTGGGAAGTCAAGAAAAAGCATGCTATTCAAAGTAGTCAAAATTGTAATGGAATAGCCCCATTAAAAAAGCATTGATTGACTTTGGCATACATAATGGAAACAAAAAACGCACAGGAAGAGTAGCCAGTCAGGTGACAGCAAACATCAGTAGATTAGTTGTAAAAAAGTTACCGAGGTCGTTTTTACACATCAGAACTATCATTTATTAACATATCTAAAATGAATAGACTATTTGAGTTCTCAGAAATAATTCCCATAAGAATAGAACAATATTAAGTGTACATTAATGATCTCATAACAGACATCTTAGCTATTACTTAACTATATTTTTTTGAAAAAACTACTCATTAATAGATTGACCTATTATATTCTATTTTAAAAATCTCATTTTACTACTGTCCAACAGCAATACATGTGAGTAAACAAGGGTGTAAATATTCCTAACTGTTGTGTGCTTGTCACTAATTAAATCACAAATGGATTTCACAAACTTATGTTGAATGGCTCTAACTTATAAAGGTTTGGATATAAAATAGTTTTTACCAACAAAATTTACTCGATGGTCCTGAATTTAGTCATCTGTAAAGTTGTTTGTGTTTACAACTGATTAGTTCTAATTCAAGAAGAAATATCTTGTTAGTTACAGTTTTAGTCTTCTCTAATTATTCAGCTAATGTGAGCTGGTGTATAATACACTAGTTAGTTATTTTGTTTAAAAAAAAACACAGAAACGCCACAGAGAACTAGCTTTTTGGTGAAACTTTGAGCGGATACATTTCAACTGAAAAAAAATCTTGAGATGAATCGGAAGACGTAATGATCAATTATCAGTCTCACTAATATAGGGAAGGCTACAAAAACGTGGAAATCAAACTTTGTTAAAATCTTGTAGCTGACTTTATATAACACTAAGCCTTCAGTAAAGGGTTATTGGATTTCATTGAAATAATAAAGTGATTTAAGTCAGACCACGATTGTAAACCTGGAAGAACTAGATGGTCGTTTTATTATGATATGGAACTCTTCGGTAGTGCTCATTCAGGATCCCG